AAAGGAAATAAAGAAGGAAGATAAAAGGGAAATGTTTTGTGATCATTGTAAGAAGCCCAAGCATACTAGGGATACTTGTTGGAAGTTACATCCCCATCTTGTTCCAACTAGATTCAGAAATAAGAAAGGAAGCGCTAATATGGCAGCCGACACTGACAATGCATCATCTTTCAATGCAAGAACCACATCTCTAGATGCCTTAGCTGCTGTCTGGGCTGCCTTGACACAATTGGAGAATGAAGTTGGTATTTCCGGGTTATCATCTCAGTCTTCAACTGTTACTCCTGCCATTCCTACTTCAGCTTTTGCTTCCTCAGGTACAAGAGCTACAACATATCACACTTCAGCCCCAGGTAATACTAGACCCTTCTGGGTAATAGATTTAGGTGCTTCTGACCATATGACTAGTTTATCCACTTTGTTTACCACCTACTATTTATCCTCAAGAAAAGACAAAGTGTTTATTGCTGATGGCTCCCTTGTTCTTATTTCTAGCAAGGGAGACATCAGGCTGTCGAATGCCATCTCCTTGTCCTCAGTTTTGCATGTCCCTAAGCTTAGTGCTAACTTGCTTTCAGTTAGTAGTATTACTAAGAATCAAAACTGTTCGGTGACTTTTTTTCCCGATCGTTGTGTCTTTAAGGATCTGGAAACGAGGAAGGTGATTAGATTGGCCATGAGACGAATGGAGTCTACCTGCTTGAGCATCCACAGGGAAAGGAAAGTGAAGTTGGGAGATTGTTTGTTTCTCAGTCTTTGGGTCAAATTATGCTTTGGCATAACAGATTAGGTCATTTGTCCTTTAGGTCTTTGAAGAGTCTGTTTCCAAGTTTGTTTGAGTCAGTCCAAGTGTCTAGTTTGAAGTGTGAAAGYTGKGAACTTGCAAAACATTGTAGGTCAACTTATTCTTTGAGCAATAAAAGAAGCAATATTCCATTTGAAATTGTGCATACTAATGTTTGGGGGCCATATCATACTCCTGCCATGGGGGGGGGTACATATACTTCTTGTTATTTGTTGATGAGTATACCCATTTCTCGTGGATATACCTCATGCACTCTCGAGATGAGGTTCTTTCACTGACCCAAGCTTTTCATCATATGGTATTGACCCAATTTGAAATCAAGATCAAAATTCTCAGATCTGATAATGCCAAGGAGTATTTTGCAAAACCCCTGGCATCATATCTTCTAGACCATGGAGTTATTCATTAGAGCACTTGTCCCCGTACACCTCAGCAGAATGGGGTTGCTGAGAGAAAAAACAGACATATTTTGGAAGTAGCCAGAAGCATTATGCTCAACTCTAATGTTCCCATACGCTTCTGGGGGGATGCAATTCCATACTGTTGTTTACCTTATTAACTGAATTCCCTCACGAGTTTTGGATATGAAAACACCATTCAACCTTCTGTATCCAAACAAGGACTTGTTCACTATTCCCCTTAAAACCTTTGGGTGTACTTGCTTTGTTCAAATCCTGGAACCTCATTGCTCCAAATTTGATCACAAAGTTGCTAAATGTATTTTCCTTGGGTATGCACAAAATCAAAAGGGGTATTGCTGTTATGATCCTGTTTCGGGAAGGCGCTATGTGTCCATGGGTGTCACCTTTTTTCGAGGATATGGCCTACTATCATAGGGCCTCTCCTCAGGGGGAGAGTCATGAGGAAGGGATTTCAGCCCCAGAAGTTCCATTACCTATCCCAGTTGTTGAGGGGGAGTGTCGTGAAGAGGGTTGTCAAAAGTGCAGGGAGTTGAGAGTGTATTACAAACAGTGGTGGAGGTAGGTTGGTTCTCGTTCACAGCAGTCCAGGCCGATCCCGACACCTCCTACAGCTTCAGATCCAGGCATTGTACCCATTGTTGAGCCCACTATTGCAGATACTTCACCTAACACTGTTGAGCCTCAGTCCCTTCCTTCAGATGACCTTGATCTCCCAATTTTAATTCGTAAAGGAAGCGTCGTTGTACTTCATCCACTGCTCATTGTATCTCCCAGTTTCTCTCTTATGGTCGTCTCTCAGAATCGTACAGATCATTTTTGGCATCTATTGCTACTATTCCTATACCCAAAACAGTGCAAGAGGCTCTTCTGATACTTGAGTGGAAGGAAGCAATGCAAATAGAGATGGATGCACTTATTAAGAACAACACTTGGGAACTAGTTGACCAGTCTGAGAGGAAGAAACCTATTGGATGCAGATGGGTGTTTACAGTAAAATATAATGTTGGTGGCTTTGTAGAGAGATACAAGGCCAGATTGGCTGCAAAGGACTTCACACAAACTTATGGCATAGACTATATGGAGACCTTTGCACCAGTTGTAAAGATGAACACAATTTGAGTCCTATCTATGGCTGCGAACTTCCCTTGGCCACTTTTTCAGATGGACGTCAAGAATGCTTTTCTAAACGGAGATTTGCAGGAGGAGGTGTAAATAGAGTTACCTCCCAGTTTTTACAATACAAAGGCAGGAAAGAAAGTTTGTCGACTAAAGAAGGCTTTGTATGGGCTGAAACAGTCTTCGAGAGCTTGGTTTGACAGGTTTAGATTGGCATTAGAAAAGTTCGGCTACATGTAGGCTCAATCAGATCACACTCTCTTCTTTAAGAAGACAAACTTTTCTTTGACCTTACTTGCTGTCTATGTGGATGATATTGTGGTGACTGGAAGTGATATTAATGAGATAGATGCTCTTAAGCAGAACCTTCACAAAGAATTTGAAGTAAAAGACTTGGGAAAACTGCACTATTTCCTAGGAATTGAAGTGGCTCGATCTAAGCATGGCATCTTCATCTCTCAAAGAAAGTATGTCCTTGACTTATTAGAAGAAACTAAAAAGTTAGGAGTAAAGCCTGCTGACACACCCATTGAGTTGAACCATAAAATAAGTGCAGAAGGTGGAGAACCTCTTGAGGTCAGGGCTATGTATCAAAGGTTGGTCGGGAAACTTCTTTATCTCTGCCTAACACGACCAGACATTTCATATGCTGTCAGTGTTGTCAGTCAGCACATGCATTCTCCTAAGACCACTCACCTTCTTGCGGTGGAAAGGATACTTGCTTACTTGAAGAGATGCCCAGGGAGAGGCATACTTTTCAAGAACTGTGGACACATGAAGATAGAGGTGTATACAGATGTTGATTGGGCTGGATGTATTGATGACAGAAGATCTACCTCAGGGTATTGTGCATTTGTAGGGGGGAACCTTGTTTCTTGGAGAAGCAAGAAACAAAATGTTGTTGCTCGCTCTAGTGCTGAAGCTGAATACAGGTCCATGGCCAATGGTGTTGCAGAAGTGTTATGGCTGAAATCTTTGCTGGATGAACTTGGAATTGACTATGAGAAACCTTTGATGTTGTACTGTGATAATCAAACAGCAAATTAACATTGCCTATAACCCAATACAGCATGAAAGGACTAAACATATCGAGGTGGACAAACATTTTATCCGAGAGCGTGTTGCATCTCAAGAAGTGTGTCTTCCCTATGTTACCTCTGACATGCAGTTAGCTGATCTCTTTACTAAAGCAATCGCAAAATTTAGGTTGGAGACAGATTTACGCAAGTTGGGTATGACAAATATCTACTCCCAACTTGAGGGGGAGTGTAGAGATAGTTGATAAGCTGTTAGTGTTTGTGGGGTTCCAATCCCACATTTTATACCTGCTGTTTATTTTTATTTTCTATTTAGAATAATTAGGCCGACTGGGCCTTGTTTGTCTTTCTTTCATTTGTTTTAAGGGTATTATGGTAATTAGTCATTGTAATAGATTACAATATAAATACATCTTAGTGGGTGGCTAGAAACATAATTCAGCCGAACCCTTTCTTTCTACTTCTTCTCTTCCTCTCTCCCTTTCCTCTTCTATTCGTGACCCTTCTTTCTCTTTCTTTTCTACCTTTTTAAATCAGAAACAACTATTTGCTGGTTTAATTTATTCAAGTAATAAGAATGAAAATCTTTTAGACAAATGGCTTTAGAGGCGGCCTTTGGAAAGAGAGAGGTTGTGGCATGAAGTGGTGGAAAGTATCCATGGCTGTTCTAAAACCAGATGGGATGTTGGGGTATCTCAACGGGCTTTACCCTCTACTAACAAAACCTTGGAAGGCAATTTCTAAATTCTTTAATTTTATAATAAAATAATAAAATAAAAATTTTAACTTTTAACTTTTTAGGGGTGTTATTTGGGCTTTCTAATTGGATTAAGCCCAATAGAATGGTCCAAATTCCCCAAACCATATTAGAAACTACACCAAACCGTAATAAAATGGTTTGGTTTGGGAATTTCTCAAACTATAATTTACTGGTTTTGTCTAGATCTTCTCCAAATCGCATTGAAGCGGATTGTGAACACCCTTATTTCTAGCATCCTCCCTAAATTCCTTAGGTCTATAAGGTATGATGTTTGCTTAGGTAATTCTGTTCTTTTTTTGGAAGATGTTTGAGTGGGTAATCAACCTTTAAAAGACCTTTTCCTCTCCCTTTATTCTATTTCTCTTTACAAGTAGGAGCCTGTTTCTAGGTTTCTTTCTTCTCAGTGCTCCCGTTATCTCTAACTTGGGAATTTGGGTTTCGTAGAGGTTTAAGCGATGAAGAATCTGTTTGTGTCTCTCAGCTTTTACTTCTCTCGGATTCTGTTTGTCTGGACTTCCTTAAACCTGACAAAAGAATTTAGACTTTGGTATTGAGTGGCTCTTTTAATTGTGCTTTGTTCTTCAAGTCCCTTTGCTCTACTCTTTCCCCTTGGGTTTTCCTAGTGAAAGAAAGTTGGCCTAGGCATACCCCCCTCCCCCCAAATAACTATTTTTTTGTTGAGAAGTTTATATAGTAAGATAAATATTTTGGATAACCTACAAAAGAAGAGACCTTATTTGTGTTTGTCCCCAAACTGGTGTACAATGTGAAGTGCAGAATTAAGATTGTTACCACTTGCTGATATCTTGCTTTTTTGTTGCAGATATTTGAAATTGGTTATTTACATTATTTGGGTGCAGGTGGAACTTGCCTTTCGAAGTAAATATGCTTTTTGATACATCAACTTTTTTGTTGCATATGAAGAGAGGGAAACTTATGTGGAAATGTATAAGAGCAGCTATAGTATAGACTATTCGGGAGGAAAGGAATGTCGAGATATTCCAAGAAAAGGAAAGAAGCCCCAATCCTTTGGCTGAAAACTTCAGAATTATTTGTGGATTATTCCTGTGATGATCTTCCGAGGAGTTGGGTAGTAGTGGCATCCAAGCCTCCAAGAAAACTAGAATACAAGCAAGGTGGATACCCCCCCTGGAGGGGGTTGTAAAGCTGAACTTTGATGGGAGTAGTCAAGGAAACCTAGGACCTTCGGATATAGGAGGGATCTTGAGGGATAAGGACAACATTCTTTCCTTATTTTCAAGTCTAGTGGGAGTAGGAGACTCAACAAGGACTGAAATATTAGCAGCTGTGCAAGGCTTATAGATCACCAACGAACTTGGAGTGGAGAATTTGTTAGCTGAGGGAGATTCTTGGGGCTACAAGGATCTTAAAAAAGTAAAATGGCTTACAAGGAATATGCCAGTCAGTTTTCAGTGGGTTAGCAGATCAGCAAATGGCTTGTAAGATTCTTTGGCTAAATAAGGTCTTTCTCGGGTTTCTTTGTATTGGGCTACTTTATAGATTGTATTCCGATAAGAGTTGGGTTTGTGCTCATCCCAAATGGGAGGTATCATCTCGTGCCTCCTCCTAGGGGGTGATTGTACTCTCCCTTCCTCTCTTTAATAAATTTTTTTACTCATTCATCAAAAGAATATACTGCTTCTACATACAACAATCACATCATTAGGAACTGTATGTGATTCATTTTTAGCATCCCTTTGATTCATAGGATTAATTGGTTTTCAATCCGAAACAAGTGGTGTGAAATGGTGCCACTATGATTTTATCAGATGGCTAGAATTATTGTGCTAAGGAGTTTTTAATTTTCTTGATCATGTTAGAGCAATGGATATGTATTTTTTAACTACTAGTATTAGCATAATCAATCTCTATTTCTCATAATAAGTTTTCTTGTTAGGGTTGTATGTTTCATTTTCTATTTCGGCCCTTTGTTCGTGTTATTTCAGTATTTGTGTTTGCAGAATTTTAGGGTGTTGAAAGTTCTTCCAATTGTCAGCATACTGAAAGGACAAGAGAGGGATGTTGAGTACTTGAATTATAGTCCAGATAGTGAGCTGCAGATATATGTTTTGTATGAAGCATTAATACATCAATACTTCTAGGGAGTAATTGGTTTTTATGGATTGGAAGTGTCTTCTTGGTTTTTGTTTTTTGCCTTGTCTTTCCCACCTTTTCTTTTTTTTTTTTTTTTTTAATTTGTAAGCTTTTTACTGAGGGTATGTTTGATTCGCAGGAATAGAGGTCTGGAATCGGAATCGGAATGGTCCATTCCAATTCCAGTTGTTTGGTTGGGTGAAATCAGAATCCGATTCCCATTCCGGGCGGAATGGCATTCCCCCATTTGAGGGAATGGCCATTCTTGGCCCACCCTCTCAGAATTGGATTCCCATTCCAGTCGGTTAAAACAAGAAAAATGAAAATGATAAAAAAAAACCCTCAAAACCCCAATTCCAAGTTTCCAACCCTCTTTCTCGTCCCTTGTCACTCCCTCCTTCAAACCCTTCAGTAGTTAGGCAACTGAACTCTGAAGATCCGACCTGAACTACTATGGCCAGGTAAGTCATCATGGATCTCTCTCTCTCTCCTTTCTTCTTCTTCCTCTCCCCCTCTCTCACACACATTTTTCTTCTTTCCACCTTTTTCCGCTGTAGATGGCAAGACCACCAAGGCACCATTTTCGAGTGCAGACCCTAAAACATCAACATCTGATTTGATTGAAGTCTGATAGTTTTGTGGTCTCGATGGTAGTTTGTTTGAAGTCTTTAGTCTTTCACTGGTATGCACAAAATAACCTTCCATACAGGTTCACAATTTGTGGTTGCCTCTCTGTATCTAATGAAATTCAATATCATACCCTGTAACATTCAAGAACCAACGAGTGCTTAAATCCTTTGTAAAAAATAAGACATAATCAAGAAGAAATAGTAAAAAGAAAAATAATAAAAATAAGTTCAATATAGTATTCTCAACCCTAAATTTGGATATGCATCAATTTGAGCAATCATAGGTTTAAATCCAAGTAAATTTGTATGATTTGGAGATGGAAAATGAACTTCCACATATTACATTATGGAATGTCAAACACTATAAGCCCTCATTCGGCTTCATCCTACCTAACTGAGGGTAGCCATCATTATCATCATTTGGTCTTCAATGATATCTGATTGTACTAAGAAGACCAAGCATGATCCAATCCTCACAATATACTTTTTAATTGCTCCCTCTTCCTACTTCAAGTCATGCGTCACCATCTTTATTTCTGAAATATGTCAAAGTTCTTTAAGTTCAGCATTTAACTCCTCTACCTTCTTATAAATATTAACTAATCAATGGTTCGACTGATCTCAAATGAAGAAACATCATTAGACAAATTCACCTCAATCTGGTTCCATCCAATTTCCCAATACCCTATATTACTGCACACGCTAGCTAACAATTTTTAATTGCTAGTGATATAGGGGTACCATATGAAATGGATCACACTCAAAAAGTTGAAAACAAAAATTTCTTAGAACAAGAGGCCGCTGAGTGATATTCAAGAGACCCTGGTACATGGAAAACAGTTGTAACAAACATGTGGATGCTCTATGACCCTGAAATGATATTTTCAGGGGATGCTTGGAGAAAAAAAATGATATTTGGTTGCACTGAGCAGACCAAGCATGATAACTACCTTCCTAAAATTATGTATGTTGGTTCCATGATGATAAGGGTGATATTTTTAATCAGTAACATAAACAAAGATTTTATTAAATGACAGAATTATGTATGTTGGTTCTATATTAATTATTTTTGGGAAGTGAGATCTTTTACTTATTCTGTGAATACTTTGTTTAGATGAATGGACTGAAGAACTTTCAATATAATTGCCAAAACATCAAATGGGGACTTGCAAAAGACAATAAAAAAAGTGGAATTTCAAATTTTCAAAACCTATAATGATTTGAGAAAATTGGGCATTATTTTTTTAGTACAGAAATTTGGTGAAGAACTCAATCTAATGGCTAAAATATCTTTGTGGAGCTACAGCAATGAAAGAAAAAAATTCAATTGGCTGAGTAGGGACATTGAGATGTAATACAGCTGGGTGAAGAGGATTGCTAATTCATTTGCCAATGGATTTGCCAAGCGAGGGGTGAATAATCTTTGTTTTGGGCTAATTTTTAAATTTCTTCCATCATATTCTATTGGTGGGGAGTTAGGACGTTTTACCTCCCCCTTTTGTAATTAAAGTTTCACAAAGCTTCACATCACTAATAAAGTTTATTGTTGTTGATAGAAAAAAGGCTAAAATATCAAATGGGTTCTTTCAAATCTGCAATCAAATAATCTAATTGTAAGTGTTTAATTGAAAAAAAAAATGTAAGCATATCTGTATTGCCATCTTAGAGGTTGATCTACTAATAATGATTTTTAGAGAGCCAATGACCAATTGCATTTACTCCTTTCTCTCTCTCTACGATGACCTTTTAAGTGGGAGTGATCATTTCATAGAAATTTGCTCAAGAGTAAATGGTTTTCAAGAATGAAAAGAATGTGGATTTACATCCAAATTCACTTTCTGTAATGGTTTTTTTTGGAACCTCTTTGATACTTGCAAGTAATATGGATGACTGTAATACATGTATATACAGCGGACGTGTATAGGGAAGTTAACATGATAGCTAGTCACCTCTCAATGCAAGTGGTAGTAGTGGCGACTGGCGAGCCCAATAAATTGTTTGATGGATGGTTCTTTCTAGGGAAAGGTATTTATGGTTTTTGATTATGTACTAGGGAGGACAACCCCATTACTTTGTTGTACTCCATTACCCCAATGGAACAACAATTCTAGAGGGGTGCAAGATTCTCTCTAGAAGCGAAGCCAATGGAGTTGCCACTTGCCATTTGGCATGGCACTCTCCCCTTTTTTCCATTAACTTGGGAAGAAAACCCATTAGCTTTATTTTAGGAAGAAAATCCATTAATTTAGGAAATCTTTTCCTATAATCTCCCTCTCTCTCTCTAACCTTTTCCTATAATCTCTCCCAATCCACACAATCCATTAGCTTTTCAATAATTATTCAATAAATATCAATGCCTAAACTATAATTTTTTTTTATTTTGGTAAATTGAAAAATTTTAATTACTAAAAATTACATGGTGAAAATTACTGATTTTGGTAATTTAATTTCGGAAATTTTTGAAAATAAATTATTGAAATCAATAATTAGTAAAATGATAATTAATTAAAATATTAATAAATAGAAATTTATTAATTAAAAATTATTGGTAATCTTTCATTAAAAATTTTATTTCAATAAATATAAATTTATTTTTGACATTTTAAATAATTTTGATATTATTGGTAATTTTTAGCAATAATTAGTGATTTTGGTAATTTAATTTAGTGGAAGTTAATTATAAAACTTCCAATTAGAATTTTAATAATTTCCACAAGTATAGGATACTACATTTATAATTACCATAATTATTGGGACTATATTTCTATATTTATGGGTTTGGGGGATGACCCCAGTTAGGAATGGCAATGGGCAGGTTTAGAGTGGGGATCATACTCCCTGTTTCGGTCTTGAGTTTTAAATTCATTCTCATCTCTATCCTTGATTCCCGTTGGGAAAAAATTTAACTTGCATCCCCAATCCTCGATGGAGACGGGTTCCCTATTGGGGACCTAAAGCCCCAAATTTTTAATTAAAAGTTTGTTTTCAAAAAGGTATTTATTTACAATAAAGGAAAGTTAAAACGAAAATATTTTAAATATATTTTGATATATATAATATAAGCAATATTATAAATAATATAAATAATATTATATATTTAATATATTATATATACACATATTTAATATATATAATCGAGGTCGGGATGGGGTGTGGACTTCACTCCCCGTCCCTGTCCCCAATCGGGTATTCTATTTGTCCCATCCCCATCCCCACCTGAATGGAGAGGACAAATACTCAATGGAGATGGAGAAAATTGACATTCCTACCCTCAGATTGTGTAAACCATAAAGCAATAAGTTTTAAGTCCAATAAACCCTAACCTCTTTTGCCAGTACACCGCACAGGGGCCCACTAGTTACATTCTATTAATTTGATTTCATTCAAAAACAAGGTTTCATTTAGTTGGCTAAGCTAATTAGGTTATGTTTTAGGCCTTTGATTCAAGTTCAAATTTTATAAGCTTTTAAAATGGTCACATCTGGGCCAAACATGCACAGGACAACATGATCGATTTTATTTTTGAAAACAACGGTCATATCAGTAAACTCATGAGGGAAAAAAAAAAATTGATCATGGGCCAAAAGGTATGTTCAATATCTGACATAACCCACCCATTTAGGTGGTGTTGGTCAATATGCATGGTTTTCTTTTCTAAACAAAATGCCATCTCCAAAATTATGTTGTCTTTGCCGATGTAGGATGTAGCTGTTGCTTTTGTTTTCAAAAAAGAAAATCAGTCATATTTGCCAAAACACCCTTACTGTGTTGTATATGGGTTGGCAACCCATTGGACCAAGCTAATGTGGGTTGGGTTGGATTGTATATTTGATGGATTAAATTAGGTCCAATCAGATCTGAATTAAGTGCTTATTAGAATAAGCACTTATTTTGGGCTGAGACCTTGGTAGGGTGGGGTGAGGGTCGGGGAATAAACTTCAAATAATCAGAATAAGCACTCATTCAAGAAGCTCAAAATTCGAGCTTATTTTTAAGTGCTTATTCAGTAAGCGTCTGTTTCCTTTTTAACCTGTCTTAGCCTGCCACATCATTTTGAAAATACCCCTATAAGCAAAGGCTCATGATCACTTAGCATTTATACTCATGAATACTTATTATAATAATCACTTATTTTCTTTTAAATAAGCACTCCCAAAG